AATTGATTAACTAAACTGAATTTTCAGCTTTGTCATGAAATTGAATTATAACTCACTTTTTTACACATTTTGGCCCGCTCATTTTATTAATTTAGCCTATTTTGATCCGTCTAAATTAAGCTTATTTGACGCCCAATGATTACTCTGTTTACCGCAGTTGCTGGCATAGAGTTATCCGATGCTTATTCACCATATACCACATTGCTTCTTCTTCAGGAAAGCGTCCACGACCCATGTACCTTCTAGCTCCACGCAACTTACAATTGCAGCCACAGGGAGACACACACACATTGTGAGACTGTGAGTGTGTCAGTTTAAGGGTATTCGCGTTCACAAAGATGCATAATCGGAGTTCCTGGAGAGCAAAGAACATGCCAAAAGCTGCACTGAACAACTTGCAGCACTTAGATTTCATGTAATCAACTTAAAACCACTTGAGCAAACAGTTTATATTTTCTGATAAGATATCCAACTCTGTTGTATAGTACTCTGTAAAGTTTTTTTCTTACCCCACGATTTCTCAACACCGTACTCCATCACTCAGATATCCGTCTTATTTGGTTCGTCATAGTTACAACAAGCAACTAAATACCCTCTCGAAACATTTAATGTCCAATCAACAATACCTCCATCTTGATAACTAGGTAATGCTATTTTCCATGTGTTTTTGCAACCAAATCCGAAGTAACAATCTCCCAAGAACCACGACGATAGCTTCCTTCCCAATGAAGAGCGCCATTTACAAACAATCCCACCTCTCCTTTTATAAAACCACTAGTAAAATCTCGTATTTTTTCCCAAGAACAAGCCTTTAAGCTGTAAATCCTCACAACATTCTCATAACTGCCTTCAATTTGACTAAAACTCAATATCTTAACAACCATATAATCTTTGTTAGATGCATCATAACCAAATTCATATCTGATAAAACAATCCCAATCAAGTATTGCATCACGAAACACATGAAAATTTCTGGTACATGGATTCAATATCATAAGGGTAAAAAAGTCCTTGTGTAAGTAGATTAACCCATTGCAACAACCCAAAATACGAATAGGGAGTTCCAAAGATTTACAAAAAAACAAATCTTGTTTAGCATAGTAATAGATGAATTTAGATTCGTGTTCCTCGTATTAAATAATCTGATAACATGACTTTCTAAGTATGTGGTTTTTATGAAAAAGATAAACATTGTAACAACAACATATCCAGTGTAATTACATAAGTAGATTCCGATGCACACAAACCTTACCCTTACCATTTGAGGGGTACAGAGAGTGCAGTAGAAAGGAAAATACAGACCACAAAATAGCAATATAACTAAAAATTGGAGTAAAACAGCAATCTTAGGAAGATGAACATTGAATTACCCTTATCAAGAACAAATTTGTCTAAAATCATCATCATTTACTATAAGTAGCAGATGGCATATCATCTTCTAGTACAGATCAATATACATACTGTTAGAAAATTAAGATTTGTCTAGAAACTCCTAGATTGGAGATATTTTGTATTAGATATATTAGAAAATTAAGTTTTATCTAGAAACTCCTAGATAGTAGATATTTTGTAGTAAGATATGTAGTCTTGATTTAAAATGAGTGGTGGTTAGTGAGCCACATATGTGCATAGTTTGGTGTGAGATATTTTGCTTATTATGTGGTTGTAATTCTCACACTTTATCTATAAATAGACCATATGTAATGAAACATCTAGTAGAAAAAAAAATTTGAACTCAAGAAAACTTAAGCCTTCTTCTGCACTTTCAGATTTTCTGTAGCAATTTACAGCTACGATTTCCTATTGTTTGCACCTTGTAGACCTGAAGTTCTTCTTTTTTTTCATTGTAACATGGTATCAGAGCCTATTTCCTAAGAGATCTGAATTAAATTTTGTTTGTTTCGATCATCTACTTTCTATTCTTTCTTGAATTTGCTTGCTGAAAAAATTCATGGCACCTGAAAATCAACCAACGACAGGTCCTCCGACTTTTACCGGAGAGAATTATCTCATATGGGCCATCAAAATGAAGTCTTATCTAAAGGCTCTCAACTTATGGGAAGTTGTTGAGCTTGGAGAACCTGCTGTCCAGCCATTGAGAGTTAGTGCAACTCTCAATGAAATTAAGAAGTATGATGAGCTGGTGACTAGATCTCCACGAGCTCTCACCTACATGTATTCAAGTTTTACGGACGTGATGTTTACGAGGATTATGACTTGTGAAACAGCCAAAGAGGCTTGGGATAAGTTAAAGGAGGAGTTTGAAGGCAACAATAGAGTAAAGTCGATTTGACTCTTAGCATTGAAGAGAGAGTTTGAGCTTTTGAAGATGAAAGACTCAGATAGTGTGAAAGAATAATCTTCAAAGCTGATGGAGATTGTGAACCAGATAAGAATACTTGGTGAAACCTTTCCAGATCACAAAGTTGTAGAGAAGATCTTGATCAGCCTTCCAGACAAGTTTGAATTCAAAATCTCAGCTATTGAAGAGTCTTGTGACTTGACTACTCTTACAATAGCCGAACTAATCTCCAAATTGCAAGTCCAAGAGCAACGGGTCACTATGAAAAGTGAAGGGATAGTCGAAGATGCCTTTCAAGCAAGGCATAAATTCAAACATCAAAAGAAAAGCAGAAAAGTCTGGTTGGATAAATCTGGAGAGGTAAAATATGGTGGAAACCAAGGTGATTTGTCGATAAAAGGAAAATGTCCACCTTGTGGCATTTGTAAAAAGACAAACCACTTAGAGAAGAATTGTTGGCAGAATTCAAAGAGGTCTCCAATTCAATGTAGATATTGTAAGAAGTATGGTCACATTGAGAAGTATTGTAGGCAAAAGCAAAATCCAAGTGGCCAGTCTTCCCATTGAGTGAATTTCGCAGATGATCACCAAGTTGGAATATCAGAGGAGGAGGTTTTCATGGCCTCACACACATCACATATTGACCAATGTAAATGGTATTGGATAGCGCGTGCACAAGGCACATGGCGATTGATGAAAATTTGTTTGTTACCGTGGACAGATCTGATAGAACCAGAGTGAAGCTTGGAAATGGCGCATTGGTGGAAGCTCACGGTAGAGGGTCAGTAAAATTTCCTACTGACGAAGGTACAAAAATTATTAATGATGTTCTTTATGTGCCAAATTTGACTCAAAACTTGTTAAGTGTTGCTCAATTGCTTACATAAAAATTATTCTCTTAATTTTAAGGACAAACAATGTGTCATTTATGATCCTAAAGGATGTGAAATAACTAAAATTAGCATGATTGACAATTTCTTTCCAATTTCATGCTATTCTATTGATACTTGCTCTTTTAATGTTGAATTGAGCGATACTTGGTTTTGGAACAAAAGATTCGGTCATTATAATCTTAGCTCACTGGTGTATATGCAATCAAAGGTTATGGTGCTTGAAGTACCCAAAATGTACATGTGTAGAGATGTTTGTGAGTCATGTCAATTTGGTAAAATGCATAGACGATCCTTTCCTAAAGGAAGTCTTTGGAGAGCTAAGGAAAAGCTAGAGTTGGTTCATACAGATTTATGTGGACCAATGAGGACGGCTTCTTTGAGTGGAAACAATATTTTGTTCTCTTTGTAGATGATCTAACTCGAATGACATGGGTCTACTTTCTTAGTAGCAAATATCAAGTGTTTTATGTTTTCAAAGAATTCAAAGCTAGGGTAGAAAGGGGGAGTGGCTGTAAATTGAAGTATATTAGATCTAATAATGGAATTGAATATACTTCGTATCAGTTCAGCAAGTATTGTAATGATTTGGGTATCCAACAACAATTCACTATTAGCTATACTCCACAACAAAACGGGGTTTCAGAGAGGAAGAATAGAACTATGATGGAGATGACAAGATGCATGTTGGCAGAAAAGAAGATGCCTAAATACTTTTGGGCTGAAGTAGTCAATATCGCTGTCTATTTGCTAAATAGATTACCAACTAGAGCAGTCCAAGACATGACACCATTTGAAGCATGAAAGGGTATCAAGCCGTGTGCAAGACACTTGAAGGTATGTGGTTCGGTATGCTATGCACATGTTCCTGATGCTAAAAGAGGCAAATTAGATAGCAAGGCAGAACTGTGTGTTCTGTTGGGCTATAGTACAGTTGCAAAAGGATACAAAGTGTACAATGTTAG